TGTGTACTAAACATAACCTATAAATAATAAGAAAGTGGCGGCGGCAGATCTGTTAAAATCTGTTCCTCCTTTCAACCACTTGTGTTCTCCTGTTCCTCTTCTATTCTCTCTTCTTTCTCTCACTTTTCTTCTATTTTGTAAACCTAAAACCTATTAGGATTCAAGACTGATTACAGTCTTGATCTTCTACTCAAAATAAAGTACACTATCATTTTAATGACTGAGTATGCTCAATTGGTATTGATGGTATCAATTCCTTGCATAATCATCTCAAAGAGATTTGGTTTTGTCAGGTATCCCAGTCATGCCCGCATGTGGTTAGGACCTATCAGATCTGGACAGGGGGACCAAAAGATGAATGATTATGAGTCAGCTATGAATGACTGGCATAGCTTTTTGGAGGAGACTAAAACCTACTATGGTGTTGATATGAGTGTTCTAACAAAGCCTTTCCATGAAGAGCAGAGGAAATACTACTTGCAGGTGATGGATCTTATTGGTTTTTTGAGTTCAGTAGTATCTACAACATGATATAATTATCAACTTTTGAAATTCATAACTTACAAAATTATGGTTTCCCCTCTATCTACTGAGTGTGGCTTGTAATGTAATGATTGTTCCATTCCTAACTTCATACTTTATTCTAGATGTCATTACATACACTGCAAAGGTTATATCTGATAATCATGATATGTGCTTTTATTGATCTCCCTCCTAGTCGTGGAAGGATAAAATTACAATTTGTTGCTGTGGATTTTCTCCTTAGGACTAATGCCAAATTTAATTGACTTAATGCCAAACTTGAGTTTACCACACATTGGTACAGGGGGCATTGAAAGAAAAATTTTAACGGGCCCATAATATTAAATAAACTTAAAATAGTTTATAACCCAAATAGATGGGTTGACTAGTAGGCTAACTAAATGAGGTATCCACCTAGGGGAAGAGGTAGTTGCATAACTACCTCACCCCCTTTTTAAGCTCCTTAGAGGGAGGCTCCAGGGCTCCTTAAGAGAAATTGTGTCTTAGGGAATAACAYTCCCAGAGAGTCCTAAGAAAATCCAGAGTACAGAGAGAAGAAAAAGAGAAGTTTTCTTGAAGAAAAAGGAAGACAGAAGAAAATAAGGAAACACCACTAACATAGGTAGGTGAAGGGAAGTCCCCTCTGCAAATACCTCCTATATGTCTTCTTTTTTAACATTATGTACTCTTCTCCTTCTCTCTTTCATTTACTTGTAAGAAAGGAAGTAAAGGAAAAGAAACTATCTATAATCATGTGCTTCTACTTGGTTGATTATGACCATGTGCTTCCACCTGGGAGATTTGGTTTTAATGAGTTGATAATCACAACAATTTCTTCCAACCATCCGATAAAATATAAACATGCTGCATCAATCAAATGAAAAACCAAATAACCCAGTGAAGGTATGTAGTATCTCCACTCTTGTTGACTGGCATTGTATCATTTTTTTCTGGGACATTACACATTATATTGTAATCCAAATAGTTAGATGATCTTAACATCAAATTAGTTGCATTTTTTTTTTCTGGGACAGTCAATAGCAATACTAACAATTTCTCTGGGCAACACAATTGACTGGATGGTCAATATCATCATATCAATGTGCCTTTTGCCTTAGGTTCAGGTAGCAAAGTTCAAACATGGGTTTATGTGAGTCGATATGGAAGGTTTTTTTTGAGTGCTGGATTAAGGGTTCCCTATTTTCTTTTCTTTTTTATTTAAATAGTAATGCTGCATGTTCCTATGCAATTATATGGATGCTAACAAGCCTGGTATTAAATTTTTGCAGACTGCATTGTGGAATAACCTCCACCCTGAACAAGTTATAGGGCTGCCTGCTGTCATCAAAGAAATCGATTGTTTAACAGCCACTGTAAATGACATTCTTACTGTTAGAGCAAACTTTTTATCATCCATAACTGTAGAGAAGACAAGACTCTGTGGGTTTGCAGGATGGTTTGATGTTCATTTTCGAGTATGTCAGTCTCCATTATTCCTGCATAAAGTTGATCATAGAATCAATTAGGGGATTTGCCTACAGAAGAGTATTAACTATAATCAGCATTTCTTTTTGTGGTGCCCAGGGAAGCAGTGTTAGTCCAGCTAGCCATGAGATTGAGTTGACAACTGCTCCTAGCATAGATAATGGGACACATTGGGGCCAGCAGGTTGGGGCTGTTCTTTTCCTAACACCATTTGTGCCATTTTAGTTTCACAAACAAAGAAATTTTTCAATTTGTGCATCATTACTTGATTTGGTGAAATTTTGCCTTTTTTGCATTTAAACAATTGTAGCCTTAGAAGAATCAATTTGACTATCAGATGTACAAGAAGTCTGATGTTTCTGCCATTTTAGTTTCACAAACAAAGAAATTTTTCAATTTGTGCATCATTACTTGATTTGGTGAAATTCTGCCTTTTTTTCATTTAAACAATTGTAGCCTTAGAAGAATCAATTTGACTATCAGATGTAAAGAAGTCTGATGTACTTACCCAACAGGTATATGATTGATGATGGCATGGAAGTGTACATTGCAATTTAATGGTTTTGCAATTGAAGGGGATTCTAAATTGCTAATTGGGTGGATGCAGTCAGGTTGTTTGGGAGCCTGGACTGGACACAGACAATTGATAAATGGAAATCTTTAGTATAACAAGAGAGGTTGGTATTTTGCTTCAATTGGATAATAAGATCAGCTAATGGGTTAGCTGATACCTTAGCAAAACAAGGGACTGTTGGGGAGAATATGTTTTGAACAGTGCTATAATTATAATTTTTTTTTGGTTTCAACCCCCTATACCAAGGGTTGCAAAATCTTTAATTAAGTAGTTAACACTTCCAATAAAAAAAGCAATCTATGCCTAATGACATGGTTAGATGATTGTTCCCATTGAGCCATTTCATATTTCTGGATGGATAGAAATATTGCAAGTATCCTAAAGCATGCCAATGAAAGGATTGTTATGAACTTACAAGTTACAACCATCCAATCCAGCAGGTATAAAGGTGTCTAGAGTTGTGGAAACCATCAAATGGGAGCCCTGGTGGTTTGGCACATGCACCGATATGCTGATATGAGACTTTTCGCATGGTTGACCCATTGAATACTTCACTAGTTTCCCTTGCCACTGTTAAGGAACTGTATTACTGTAGTCAAAAGGGCAATGTGACCTGGCCACATTTAGTTGGAAGATGTCAAAATAAATTCTATTATTTATTTATTATATCATTGTTACTCATCTTCATTATTTCTATTGTGATTTCTTACAGGTATTCCTCTTGCACCCTCCTCTTCGAGTTGGTGAAGGGGATGATATGATGGTCACTTTTTCAATGAATCGCTCTAAAGAGAACCACCGATTGATGGAGGTTGAGCTTGGTTGTGAGATGAGATTGTCATCCGGGAAGCAGCTCCAACCCCTCGCTAAAAAGTTCTATATAGAATGAACCAGGAAAATTTTCAGATATTCCTGGTCCTGAACAAGACAGGTACATTTATCACTTCCTTGGTGTTATGACAATATGTGTTTCTACATAAGATGTGTTTCCTTTTTTCCTCGTTCCATTACTTTTTACTAGTTATGCACCAACCAATCCTCAATCTTTCTGTATGCTAATGTTTCTATGCACATATTTATATTCTTTGTTTATGTATCTTCTCATATTTACTGGATAGTGGATGTCGAAATATTCTGGACATACAATTGTCAGTATTAGTTTCTTTGATGCCTACAAATAGTTGGTATACTTTACATGCATGCATACAGTTCGGATCTGGCATTTTCTGGTGCACAGGCTTGTGGCTGTGCGTCTATTCCTTGATGGTTTAAGCCTTTAAGGTTTTCCCCATGTATCATAAGTTTTGGCTGTTGTTTCTAATTTGTGTATATTTCTGACTTCTCTAACAGAGAATTTTGTTATTTGCAGAGAGGAAAAAGGCACGACATAGAACTCATAAGCCTGATATGGGTCATCTTGGAATTGTAACTACATATGAGCATCTCTTTGTGGATGTCTACAGTCGCTTTTTTGCCACCTTGGAAGGTTCAAATACTAACAAGGGAATTTGTTTTTTGTTGCCTTAGCATTCAAATGCTTTCCTCTTTGTTAGCTTAACAAGAATTTTGTTTTGAAATCCGATGTTGTATTAAAGGTGACAAAAAATATAAGTATAGTATAAGTTCTTTCCGTGCGTGTTTTAGATATCTAAGAGTTCCATTTGGGAGATCTCTAGGTCAAAAATCAATTCAATCAAAAGATTTTCATTTGATTAGATGTTTATACTGAATCAATCTTGTGGATACGAGTATGACTAGTACAAGAGAAACTACATGTTCTTACTCTCTTTGAGGCTTTCTTTTTTCACGTTATCTCAACCTGTCCACCTTGACCAGAAGCAGACCTAATCCTAGTTGGAGACAAATCAATATCATTCTGCATTGAACACCCATTCTTTGAACTTTCAAACTCTCTCCTTGTCCCCAGGTGGCATAGGCTCCTTCCCCATGAGAGAGATGGGTTGATCTAGATCAGATGCATGCCTAAATGGTGGTTGATTATCAACTTGTAAGTGCAAGGCGTATCGGTTGATTCTCACAAGCTATTAAGGTGTAGTACCGTAATAGTATGCTATTATCCTTTCCGTCGTAGCTACAAGTCAAGTCTTTATATCACATTTTCAAGATCCTTCGCTGTCTGCAATCTCTCGTTTCTAATAGTCTAGTGAGTACGGTGTTCAGGAATCAGGATGTCCGCCCTCTGGCCGCTATTTGTAGGCGGGGTTGGTCAGCCAGTATGGTTATAGGTACCCTGAACTTTCAATTGCAACAGTTGGGTCCATTTTAAACATTAGATAATGTACCTTTCTATATTTTTGAGATCATTCTACAGAGGAAGTTCATCCCGAGAATGCTGTGGATGGAGAATTTGAATCTATTATTTGTTGTCCATTTTTTTGGTAATTTGTTGTCCATGTGAGAATGAAAGTTTTGGGCATTATCTAATGTTTAACTGACAGAATACCAACTGACGGACCCCAAGTGTCTATTTTTCAAAGTTCAGGGTAATCAAGTGTTACAATTGAAAGTTGATACCTATCTGTAATTTATCCATTATTCTATTCTTACTCCAACTTTGTCTGTTTTTGAAGTTTTAGCGGCTATATTCAAACCAGGGATTAGTCGCACTAGGGCTAATGAACTAGAATCATCTCAATTAATAATCTGGTCCTGTTGGGTCTTACCTGATAGACCCAATTATTTTTAATTAATATCGTCACATATTTTATACTAATTTTTTATATTGTTAATTACCTGATAGACCCGATTATTTTTACTTAACATCGTCACAATTTAAATAAAAATGATAGTAAAATACTAAATTTTTTATATTGTTAATAAACTGCTTATTTTTAATTAATATCGTCACATATATTATCTATCAAATTTATCATTTCAAAAATTAAATATAATAAAATTAAGAAAATATTATACATTTAATAAAATAATTGGTTTGGGTCTTAATCAGTTTGGGACAAATAAGAACCAGAACCAAGGTTCTAAATATCGACACGGGCCTATGTTGGTACATTTTTTTTTACATTTTACTTATTTTTTTTTCGAAACTGGTTCAGAAAGGTCAGTTTAAGGCCTGGCTACCTTCTGAACCGGTGGCTGCTCCGATACAGTCCTTGGAGGGGCATATCAGTAAACCATCAGTACGATATGTATCGATACTTTGAACTTTGACCAGAACCAACTCAATTATTAATTGGGACAAAATCTTGGAACCAAACCAACATAATCGGTTCAATTCAGTTTGGGCAGTTGGGCAGAACTGGCCCATTGACCTACACAGAACAATAATTCATCAGACAGCTAAGATCCCTGCAAGCAAAAACTCTGCACATAGCATTGAATTACACATTTGCAATATCTGTGTAAAATTTATAAGGAGATGTGCAGCTGGATTCCATGCTTTCACAGTTAATGTAAGTTTTTGCTTGCAGAGAATCCCATTACTCACACTGCAAAATCAAGGTTTAAAGTGCTGGTAGCTGATGAGTTCGACTTCTATCAGGGCAAATCAGTGCTCGCACCCTTCGAGCAGCCCCTTGCAACCTTGCATTGAGAATATCTCCATAAAAAAAATCACATAACTGGAGAGATATTCCCAACACAAGACTGTAAAAGCTGTTGGAACGGGCTTTGCCCTGACTGAAGCCAGACTCGTAGCGCTGATACGTATTGGTTTTTGCATGCCACATGGACAAAATGACTTAATTCCACATGTATCTCAAGTATCAATTAGTACTAGACCATATCTAACAAGTACCGATTGATGCTCTATTATTATTTTTTTTTTTGAATTCAAATAAATGCTATAATTTTTTAAGGTATTAAAATCCAACAAGATTAACACCCACATTTGTAGGTTGGAAGACAACAAACCCATCACTACACCATGCTTTACCTCTTCAAAATTGTACGAGTTCGTTTCTTTTTTCTTTTTTTTATACAAAATTCTAGAGTTGGAATTTTACCTCTGAACATAATCTCTTCTTGAAAGCTAGAGCCATTCAGCCAACTGGCTATTCAAATTTATATATTTATGAATATTAACAAGAATCATACCGTTTTCAGCCAACACATTTAATTACATCAATTTTCAATATTTCCTTAACTATGTTTCAATGTGTTTTTTATGTATATACATACTTCATTTATGGTACTAATGTACATCTTAATTTTTCCACTATCCATGCGCATCCAAATGCATCTCTTAAAAATTGAATATTTCGGATGTGTGTGTTTTATTTGAATAGAATTATGCTTTTATAAAAATTTACATGTTTCTATCAAACCAGTGTCATGTAACAAACGAGATGAAAAAGGGTATTCTATGGCTTGCTCCTACATTTAAGTCATAAGAAACAAGGTTCAAAGTATCGACATGTATCAGCCAATACATATCATTCCAGGACCCCTCCAATATGCCCCTATAGTGGGTGTATCGGGGTCTGACCGGTTCAGGGGGTGGAGGAGCCCTAAACTGGCCCCCTGAACCGGTTTCAGAAAAAAATAAAAAAAWAAGTATAAAAAAAGAGTACCGATACTTTGAACCTTGATAAGAAAATCGGTTTAGTAGATGATAATATATAAATCTCATGTGAGCAGCATAAATGAGCAGAAGTTGTAAGTTATAGTAGATAAAAAAAGTCCATGCATGCAGATCGACAAGTGAGTTTTATAGTCGAGCCTCAGTCCTCGGGGTACAGCACCAAAGAGCAGCAATATAGAGTTCACAAGTATGATCTTTCTCGCCCTGAAAGAGCTAAGGCAAGACTGCTGTAATCTTCTTCCTCTAATTACCTTCATCCATGATTATGATGGATCAGAAAAAAGATAACGAAATAAGGGCGCAACTACTGCTACACTTAAGCTGTTCCCCAACAAAGCATATCTGCAGACAAGAAACAGGATACTGTTAAATATAAAAAAATGGATATGATCATTACCAAGTCCAAATTGGGTCCATATATTTAGAATCTGCTAGGAATTGGACCTAATTGGTGGGTATTATAGGTGTACAGGTATATGTAACTCTGCCAACATATTATCCATCTTGCCTAAAATTTCCATCCTAATGGCAAATCAGATTGATAAAATGCAAAGCAACCTTTTATGGGATGGGGAGAAGGGGAAAAAGTTGAATCTTGTTAAATGGGAAAGTGTTTTAAACGCATAAAAAATTTGGAGGGTTGGGTTTTAGGACTAAATCATGAACAAAGCCTTTTTGCAAAAGTGGCTCCGGGATTTGGGGAGGAAGGGGAAGTCTATGTAGGAGAATAGTGGTGAATAAATATGGGATTGTGAGATTTGGGTGGGATTCAAGATCAGAGGTATCATCATTATATTGGGTATGCTTGTGGAAGGTATCATGAAGTTCAATTCTCTTTTCTGTTGGATTTCAAAATTTTTAGTGGGGGATGGGTCTAAAGTGAGATTTTCAGAAGATGAATAGTGTTTGCTTGGCAGGTTATGTAACATCTGTCCAAGATTATAGAGATTAAACTTTAAGGGTCTCAGCAAATTAGAAGCAGTATAGATCCAGCCTGATTCAAAGATGATGCTGGGTGGTGGAAGGAGGATAGAAGATTTACAGTGAACCCTATGATTCTTTGATCAGAAATCAGGTTGAACAATTTCCATTTAGAGGCTTTTGGAGTAATTCTATCCCTCATAAAGTAGAAGCCTTGCATGGTTGTTGTCCTTGGAATCTTGACAGTAAACCATCTAAAATCTAGAGGTTACCATTTATGACATGTTGGGGAGGTCATTTCTCAACCAATTAACACCATTATACTTGAGATGGAATTACATATTCACAGCTAGGTTGGGAGAAAAGCATGGTCATGAAACTAATACGGTAATACCAGGTACAGTTGTGTAGAGTTTTTTGGAAAATGAAAGTAAACTTAAATTGTCTACATTTTTTTTTAATTTCTTTTGCTGGAAGGATATGGAAGCAAAATATAAATGGGAAAAGCATATTGGTGTCATCTATTGAGTCCAGAGTAAAGAAATAAAAAAGAAAATAAAAAGGAGAAAAGTATGACCCACAGGTGTTTCTCCTAAAGATAGCATACTGTTTAAGCTCAAGGTCTATAACAAGAACATGGCATACCGTTGTCTAAGGCTTATGTGCTGTGGAAATTGGAAGTCATCCGGGAAAGAATGCAGGTTGGCCACCTGGAGATTATAGGATGTAAGCTTCCATTTCTGGATCTATATCAGTGAAACTAATAAGACAATGACTACAGAAACCAAATACATAATGTGAAAAACAATTACCTCCCTAGGAGTGAAGTATCTGAGGCACTGCTCCTTCAAGGAAGACAATTTCCCCCTCTTTTCTGGCTGTGGGTTATCGTTAACATTAACTACCATAACTGATGGAAGCAACTAAGAAGACATTGTTCATAACTTAAGAAGAAACTCGTAATCGTTTTGATAAAACAAGTGTACTGACATGTACATGAAGTACTCGTATGGTAAATTGTAAAAGACTAGAACTGTATACCAAAATTTATCTTGTCTTAATGCCATTGCCTAGTGCAATGGTAAAATCTTGGTCTGACAAGTGTGAGAACATAGGTTGAAGTCTGAGAAGCCACTTTATGCAAAAAATGCCTAAGGATAGGTCCTTATCCAATATCCAGTCCACCCCTCTCAAGACCCTGGATAACTGGGACTAATATTGGGTGAACCCATCTTCAGCATAACCAACAACCTGTTGGCCTACCAATGTTAAAGTGTAGACAAGAAAATATCCAATCTACCACATTCTTTAGGAAGTAAAAAAGGCCATCAGATTTTAGAAAACTTAGAAAAAAAGTCAATGATTAGACAGTATCATCAATTGGTCAGTGCCACTTCCAGACAACTCTGACACATTTACAGAAATGCTATTGTGAAATCTTTACAATCTTCCAATGCTCCTGTCTCTTTATAGGAAAACTCTTTCAGATATACAGCATACCACAGTCTAGGCTCTCTATATTTAACCATTATGGCCTGCCAAATGAGAACCTATAGTTCCAATTGGCATTGGAAAATATGGGAGAAGATCAACTGATCAACTAATTGGATTATTCAGTGAAGGAGTCTAAACAATTCATGAAAAAATTTGACCTAAAAGACCTTAATACTAGTTCAAAATGGGCCTTCTTTATGGACAACTTTTCTGTTAATTAAAAAAATTGAAAGCATGGTCTGTTAATATTGATTGGGTGAAACTCTGATAAAGGTGGTATAAGGCTGCTATAGATGGGGTAGAACATGTGGTTAATCTAGTGGGTCCCTCATTTGATATCTGGATCAGCCACAAGACCCCTCCAAGTGGCAGAAGTTAGGTTAAGCAGGAAAGCTCTCTACTTCACCAAATTAGGAAACCTTTTTCCTGTATATATGGCAAAATCATAATATGCATAAATATAAAACAAACAGTGGGAATGTCAAAACAATAATCCTACTTGGACTGTTGCCAAAAGGGATCCAGTACCCTTCACATATCTATGGTAGCTCTTTGTAAAACAACAACAACGCCTGGAATCAGGGTAAACAATATCTGTATCACTGTCAAGGATTCCATAGGAGTTGATAAAATAACTCAACAATAGGGGGGGGGGGAGGGAGAGAAAGGACATGATAAAATGAAAAATGATTTAGTAGCATACTTTGTAATGGCAGAAGGAAAAAGAAACCAAGTTAAATGTTAAAAAAGAAAAAATAAGGATACCCATAGCACTGCCCCACCTCTCAATTAAGCTCAATGGCACAATATATTGGTTTAAGGAGCTAGTGCCTAAACAATTTTGTCCATCTACCTTTGCAGCAAAATTGGAATTGTTGAAGACATCTGCTTCTGATCCCTCTGACTGAAATATAGAATTCTTGGGTTCAAGGAAGTTCTGTATTGGTTCACAAGATTGGAGCAACTTATCCAGTCTTTCATCTGATTGATCATGTTCATCCATACAAATATGACTATTATGATCATGCCCTAGTATTGGGCCAGGAGTCCAAAGAAGTTGGTTATTGAAGTGTGGGTTTTGAAAAGACGAAGGCTTTCTTTTTGCCTGTTTCCACAAAAAAAAATTTCAAATTCATATTCATGAAGGAAAAGTTAGAACCAATGTGTCTATTTATCAATGAAAATAAAGGAGAAACAAAATGTTCAATAATATCACAAAACGCTTTCACCTTTAGATCCTTCTTCTTTGTTTATTTCCTTTTTTTTATTTTTAATAACCAGAAATTGAATTCTATAAAACAAATAAAAGAACACAAAAACCAGTTCACCCAGTCCCACCCAAGTCCCTACTAACTTGTACTGATCCAACTATTCTAATACCCAATGTCCAGAGAACCGGACCAGAGATAGAACTGTTTTCTCCTCTGGGTTATGATTCACTGGTTCAACCAGCCGGTCAATCCGGTCAACCATGGCATCGTTATATGACAACATATAGATTTGAGGCCAAAAAAGGCATCTTTTTTTGGCAAAAACAGTGGGGCAAGGTGCCTTGGAACACGTTGTTGTAGATCGCGAAAAAATTACCCAAAATAAAAAATAAAAAAGATCACCCGAATCGAACAACTGAGTGCAAAGTTATGGCCTCCGAAAGTTTGCATATCAGGTAAAATAAAAAGGAAAAAAACAGCCAGTTTAATGAAAGCAGGACTGGCTGACTGATTCTTCGGTTGGATCAACTAATCCAATGGTCTTGACCAGTTTTTTGGGCATGACTGAACTGGCAGGTGGACCAGGCCACAGCTTTCCGGTCTGACTGACCAGACCAGTCTGGTTCTCTAATACTGCTAATACCAAAGAAAACAATCATATTGGTATTTACTTGTGTTCTCAAGCGAATCATGGACAACCATATTACTTGTACTGCCCCAACTTGGTTACCTCATGCTATACATTCTAGCCCTGATGGTTCTTGATACTTTTTAAACCAACTCTCTCTCTCTCTCTCTCTCTCTCTCTCTCTCTCTCTAGTTAACAGGGTATCATTTCATTAATATAAACAAAGATTTAGAAAGAGGACCCAAAGGGGTAAAATTACCCCTAAGATACAGTCATTACAAATGAGCCCAATACAATTGTTCCCTATTTACCCCTTGCCTTGCTAATGAATCTGCCAACCCATAACATCACTAGGAACCCACTGAAAAATTACTGTCATTCCCCTTAATAACCAATTGGTCTTCTTCAACACTTCTCAATATAAGTCCAGGCTACCTTCTTTTCATTCTTTATCCAACTTACCACCACTTGAGAATCCCTTTCAACAATCAGCCTTCTCACATTTAACTCTTTTTCTATTTGAACCACAAAGTACAGAAAACATTTCAGCTCTAGTGGAACCTCCTAGACCAATAGGACCCGAGAATAAAATGCAATATTTGGATATACAATGTCTAACATAATTTTTACTAAAATGTAATATAATCCAAGAGTTCACAGTTGAACCATAGTTGTCAAGGCGAGGCCTAGGCACCCACCTAGGTGATAAGGCTTTTTTTTTTTTCGGGGGGGGGGGTTGCCTTATCTTATGCCTCACCCAGGTGTCTACAGCTGAACCATATTGTATTGTATGGAAAAGGTAAAGGGTGTAAAAGGCCATCACAATAAATCACTTTTCAATTTAGAGAATCATAAAACTGGTTAGGGGTAAACCACAACAGAAAAAGAAAGTAATGAATTAATTGTGGTAATAGGGCTTTAACTAGTAACTGTCATCATGGTATTTGTCATAAGAAGCCTTTTTTTCTATTTCTCTCTCAATTTATGTAAACAAAATAAAGCATCATCTCTCTCTCTGTCAAATCGGGGACTCTATCCTTTCATTTGTTTTATCCCTTTTCACTCTGGCCACTCCTCTCCATCTTTCCAACTATGACAACCTCCATTTATGTTTCTCGGCAATTCAATAAAGCAGGGTCTTCACACTTCATGTTTTTGTTTGTTTTCTACATTCATTGATTTTTTTTGTTCTTTTTGGATAATTGACAGAACTTTTATTAAAGACAAAAAACAAAATGCATGAAGTACAATAGAAAGGAGGGAGGGGTAAAATCTCTTAACTCTCCCTGAGATTAATATTCATATTACAACAATGCCAAAAAAAGACTAGCTCTTCCCACCCCTTGTTTGGCAAGTGAGTCAACAAAAGAATTTGCACTTCTCTTAAGCCACTGAAACTTAATTTCCATGTCCTGGGTCAACTGTCTAAATTTCTTTTTCTCATTTAAGAACTTCCAAAATCCCATCTCTTCCTTCTGCAGACAGCCGATAACCAACATCAAATCACCTTCCACCATCAGATTGATTTATTACAAACATAAACACATAGATGTTCTATTTATATCCCCTTTCACTAATAGAATAAAGTCTCATCCTCTACTTTTTTATAGGTTATGCATTTTTTTGATAATTATAGGTTATGTTGTGTCTACTCTACCTTTAATTTTTATGTTTGTTCAAGATCACCTTCAACGTTTGCTTGTTGCTAACTTGCTACTTCAACTAGGAAAACAAGTTGCCCATAAAAAAAACTAGAAAAAAGATAAATTAAGAAGGTTTTTATATAAAAACCAATTGCTTAGGTGGGCACCTAGTGGCCTGGGCAACAAGGCACTCCCCTGCTGCCTAGCCTCGCCTTAGCGGTTTCGCAACCATGAGTTGAACATCTGTCCCTGTTGAAAGATTTAACAATGAGCTCAATTTACATATTTCACTATCCAGGGTATGTACTTCATGTATACAATATTGAAAAGGAAAAAACTGTAACAAGTAATTAGGTAAAGCAACAATAAGAGAGGGAGTCTACCAGGCAAAAATATCGAGGTCTAGAATATGGCACACCAAACTGCAATGGACTCAAAATAAACTCCTGTGTAATGAAACCTGTTTCTGCCAACATCTCAATCATGCGCTTGTGTGTATCAGATTTCTGGAGATGAAGGATATGAAAATCAGAATCTTCACCAGAGACACAATTTCCTATGATATTAAAAAAAAAATCCATACAAAACCAAGTCTAGAATGCAAAATTATGTGCAGTGGACCTCGAACCCAACCACATTCTCTACAAACAGCATGATGGGAAGTTGTGATGTCTGTGGCATAAGTTCAAGAATCTTAAGAAAGGAGGATGCTCGGGCATCATCAGAATCCTTCTGGAGACCTAAAAAGAAAATTTTAACCATTTCAATATGGCGAAGAAAGGGGAAATTTAAAATAAATTTTTCATGGTGAAATAAAGCTAATTGATCCCGTGAAAATAAAAAATAACACACAGATTTTAGGGGTGAACCTTGCCGTGTGTATGGTTGGCATGGAGGAGAGAGCAGCCACACATCTGCCTCATATTTGTCCAGCTCAGCAGCAGTCATGCTTTGAATATTGCCCTACACTCAACTACACAAGTTATATCTGCTACCTTCCTACATATTAAGTATTAAATAGAAGTTAACCTTGACAATTCATCCATTTACTTTCTAGAAGTCCAAAATCCCAAGCAAAAGTGAATCCTTGGATAGAGAACAAGCAATTTGTACTGCTATCAAAGTAGCAACTCAAAATTACGAAGAAAACTTTACACCATGAAACTACATAAAATGAATCCAATACAGTAAAATAAACTAAAATATGGGATGGAGAATTTTCACAAAAAAAAGGGATGGGGAATATTCTTTTGGTAAAGGAATAAAACACTGGTGGAAAATTGTGTTGGAAAGAATTTTTTTCACATGATTCATTAATTCATTTATGCATTCTTCTTCTATATGAACCTCATTCTATGTACTCCAATATGAACCCTACTTTCTTACATAATTCATTCTTTCTTCTTCTAAAAGAGAGAAGGGATAGAGACCTTTTTTTTCTCCTTTCAGTATAGTGAACAGTAAGAATAGTAGCATTTTCATATCATGGGCATGGTTTAAAATGTCCCTAAATTCCCTAATATTTCCATGACATATTTCCATTTCCATGGGTAGCAACATGAAATTTACCGGAATCGACATATTCCCCAATGAACACTACCAGTACTATGAGGAGTACAAGAGATAGTTCCCATTTTCACTACCATGGGCATGAAATTTTATTGGAATCAACATATCTCCCAGTGAACACTACCAGCACTATAAGGAGTACAAGAGATAGTATTACAACATAAATTGGTGACAGTACACCAACTTATGTTGTAAGGTCACTAATTTACTTCAAATCCTAAAGCCTGTCATTGTTGATCCCCTCATCTCCTCTAATGAGAGAGTTTGGACCACCGACACTAGAGGGTCCTTCTCTTCTGCTTCCTTTTTCCAGTCTTTGGTTTAACATGGTTCTGGTGGGTCCTCCTTCCCTGTGCATGAGGTTTGGTGTAAAACATTAAAAATAGAGGCTTTCTGTTGGGGGATATATCATATATCATGAAAGAATCAATACTCTGGATATTTCACAAAAAGGAAGAAAAAATGTATGTTCGTCCCCAAAATGCTGCATACTCTGCAAGGCAAATGGTGAAACTGCTGAACACCTCTCTACCTCTTGTCCCTTTGTTACCTCTATTTGAAATTGGTGCTTCTCTCTTTCTGGTTGCAGGTGGACTTTACCTACAAGTTTGGAGACTTTGTTTGCAGGTGCAACTTTCAGATGGCCAAGGAAGTAAAGAAAAGTTTTATGGAAGTGCACTAGGGCTGCTGTGCTTTGGACCGTTTGGGAAGAAAGAAATGCAAAAATCTTTAAGGAAGAGAAAAGACATTTGGAAGCTCTTATGGACTGCATCCAAATAAGGATGATACATTGGGTCAAATCTTTGGATCTGTCTTCACCCTGTACTATCGAGTGTCGATGATATAAAAAGAAATTGGAGGGAAGTGGCCACTTCATCTACCAGAAAAGAGAAAATCATCAAACCTTGGACACTGCCCTTGGAAAGCTTTATCAAACTTAATTTTCATGGAAGCAGTCTCAGCAATCCTGACCCTCGAAGCATTGAGGGAGTCTTTAGAGAGAGAGAARGGAATATATCAGCCATTTTTCAGGCCCTATTGAGTTAGGGGACTCCATTAGAGCCAAACTGCTTGCTGTCCTGTGTGGGGGTCAAAAAGCAAAAGAGCTAAACATGGAAAGGCTGATTGTAGGAGATTCTCAAGTGGTGATTAGTTGGATAAAGGATGTAAAGAAAGCAGCATGGTTGTACCGAGAAGGGGTTAAGAAGATCTTATGGTTTCTGAGAGGAATAACAGTGATGTATCAATGGGTCCCAAGGGAGGCAAATGGACTAGCAGATTCTCTAGCTAGACAAAGGGTTAATAGGGAACATTTTTATTGGGCTTATCTGTGAATTTGTATTCTTTGTGGTAACCTTACCCCTTTCTTAATCTTTGTACATTACTGTTTATACTAATGAAAAGTTTCAACTGTTAACAATTTAAAAAAAAAACATGAGTTGGTGACAGGATTGGAGATATGTGGAGTAACAATGTTATTGCCTGCCTAACTTACATGATTACCACTTTGAGCTAGCTCAATATTCATTTCAAACATGAAGTTAAATAGTAGTTTTTTTTTGGTGTGTGTGTGTGTATTGTGTAATAGATTATTTGGTTGATCTATTTTTTATTTCTTTTGAAGGGCTACACAACGGGGTAGCACATTCCCCAACCCAGGTGCAAGCGGGACTTGATCCCAAGTCTCCGCTACGACCAGCAGGAGACTTTACCAACCAGCTGCTTGGCACCTTGCATTATTTGGTTGATCTCAATGTTTTAAAAGCACATGGCACAAAAAAGGAGCAAGGGCCAATTTGTGCCTGAGGCACAAGGTGAGGTGCGTGCCTTTTTGAAGCAATGCGCAAAAATACAAAAAATAAAAACAAAAAAGTTAGAAAATTCAAAACAATGCCAAAAAAAGTCAAAAAAAAAACTGATAAATAAAAAATCAAAAAATATTAAACATAATATTAATAAAAAAACATAAACTTAAATTTTAAAATAAATGTTTTAAAAAAACTATTATCTAAAATTAAAATACATAAGCATAACATGTAATGAGTATTCAAATGAAAATTTAAAAATACAAATCAAACATATAAAGCATAGTCAAGCATGTAAAACCCACAATCTCTTTTTTTCCTCAAATGCATTACTTCAAGTAGCTAATGTGATGTAAAACATATTGCATTCTTGATTCTACAGGTCACCTTTGTACCACAACCTTCGAGCAAGCCTGAACAAGTCCATGTTAGGGTCTTAAATTCTTAATTCTCACATAAAAAATAATGATTTTGTAATTTTAATTGCCTTTTAAGAAGATATTTTATTAGGATGAATGAATGAACAGCATTAGAAAATAGGGGGTATACCCTAAAATGCACCTCGCCTGTGCGCACCTTTTAATCATTGATTGATCTATTACAACCATTTCCATTTCCATTTTCTGAGTTTAAATTTTGCTTTAACTCATTCCATCATTAAGTTTTGAATCTTAAGATTTACAGGACAACTTWAAAACATATTCTTTTGTCTATAACATTAGTTTCTTAGCTTTGTTTAATGATTTGGAACAAGATAATAATTTACCAATAAAAATATATCATTCTCTATTCTTTGCATATTTTACAATATTTCCAACATGTTTCCTATATTTGGGCAACCTACATTTCCACCGACACTGACATTTAAAATTGGTGAGTTTCATTAACTTTCAGCAGTATATTTGTTCCGTCTTTATGTCCTTGTGTTTTAGTAATATTCCTAAGACGGAGATAGAGAAAAGGAAATAAAACTTTTTTTTATTGGTAGTAAAGAAGACAAAAACTATAGGTCCCTTCATTAGTATTAATCCTAAATCCATTAAGAGAGAACAGCAGGTCTCTTAGATATAAAAGCTAGTCTCCTAATTGAAGGTTAGTGTGGTTTCTTAGGTCAAGTGAAATTGTGAAAAGTGTTTTTTTTTTTTTTTTTTGGGGGGGGGACTAGGATGAAGGGTAACTAGTGTTTTGGGTATGTAGTAAGGATTAAATGAAAGTGGTGTTTTAAAAGCAAGAAGCACAGCTAAAAGTGCAAGTGGTTCTTGGAGACTGAGGCATGAGGCACAAGGCAAGGTGTGCTTGTTGTGAATGAAGTGAGGCGCCAATTTTGAAAATGAAAACAATATAAAAAAATTAATGTACAAGAGTATGCAAATCTTAATTCTGAAAGAAATAAAATATTTCAAATAATATATTCGCTTAATAGGTTAGAGTCTCATATTATTAAAAGAAAGGTTGTAGCCTTGTACTTTTAAATCTGACATAGGCTAGAAAGGCCATTACACAATGTTGGTCCTAGCTATTTGGAGTCTTGGGATGCATAGACCGGCTATGGAGTGGCCTCTCTCAGACTCTAACCAATATTCTCATGCCTTTCAGCCAGAGATTTTACTGTTCTACCAGGCAATAGCTCCCCTTCAAGTCCTAGATAGGTTAAACTGTTTAAACTCTAAGCATCATGGTTACAACCTACAATATAGTAAATTACATATCCAACAACAAATTAAATGTTTTAGTTCACTAAARAATAGCAACTGAGTGAAACATACCTGGGTTCAGGCAAGGCGCACCACACAAAATGAGCCTTGCTTGTGACTAGACATGCCTTTTAAAACACTGAATGAAAGTTCTCTTTTCTTCTTTGTTTTTTTATTTTTATTTTTTTGAGAACAAGATACTTTTTTTTTCTGTATCCCAGTAGTCACTAGTGAGATTATTTGGTCAGTTGAAGGACTCCAGGGTGGGGACAATGCAAGGTGCATGTGAGGGTAACCAAAAAGCATTGGGGTTCCATATTTAGGAGTATGGAATTGAATAAAGTACTGATTGCAAAATTGAGTTGGAAATTTTGACGGTGGAGAATATTCCTTCAGTAAGGGTTCCCAGCAGTAAATACTTGCTTTCATGTTGCTCTCTTGAGGGTAAGAAATATAATTAATAACTCTTCCACAGTAAAGGCAGGCCTGCCCAATTGTGATGTGCCATATGATAAGGCATATTGGTGGTAGACATATGGAAATAGAATTTCAATGTTTGCAAATTCAAATATCCTGGCCGCTGAAAGAAATGGTATAGTTTATCATCCATTGGGAAAGAGAAGGCACATGGAGGTGCCTGATCTATTTTCAATAGACACATGCAACTGGAACAGTATCCTGTCATTGCCATGATTAAACAAATACATGGTGAAGACTACCTCTCATATTATTCCTAGTCTTTTGGGAGCTTATGCTGGAAAAAAAAAAAAAAACAGAACTGGGAGTTGGAGGTACTCTGTTTGTTCATCATGCACTTTTTTAAGTGATTTGTCTTCAAGTTTCAATCAAGAAATTAGATGGAGGAAAATACTCAAACTAAGCTGGCCATCTTTCTACCTTTTTTTGAAGAAAGATAACAAGATGTTGTATAGTATAAGTAAAAGGGCTATACAGAAATAACAGTGCCTACCAAATCAAGACATCATATTACTGCTGTACATAAAAATCTCTGTTTACACCTAATTTTGTTAACATATCTGACAAAATATTCAGTTCTCTGGGAATCCAGGTTGTGACAGCCAACAAACTAGAAGCCAGGTCTCTAGCCTCATTTAGGTAGTGATCCAACTGCCACAGGCCTTCCCCCTTTGACAGCATCCAATTAGCCGTATTGGCTGAGTCTCCCTCAATCCTAAAGGATCTTAAACCAAGTTGCTTTGCTATACAGAGACCTGTGAGAATGGCCAACACCTCTGCAGTAGTTGAACTTGCTGTCCACTGAAGACCCAAAGAATATCACTTATGTTGGATATGAACACACCCCCCACTCCAGCTGGCCCCGGGTTTCCCAATGAGCACCAAAGTTGTTGTACTGACTAGGGAGTGTCTTGCCTGTACAGGAGGGGAGGAGTACAGGGTGGGAATCAAATTCCGGCTTAAGAGGTCCACACTGAAGCCCTTGAAATCCTCACAGCTTGAAGCCCACAAAATACACAGACTGAGAATGTGATTCTTTAACTCCTCTACAGAATAGAGATCTGCTCTTATTGTCAAAAAAAAAAAAAAAAAAACGCATATTTTGCTCTTTGCATAAACCACATAAAACCGCATGAAGAATAAGATTCCAAAAACTCCTACCTCTTTTTCCTAAACCTCCATATCTCCATTGTTGAATATGATCACAAACATGGCAATTCTTAGTGACAAGATCTTTCAGCACTTTAATCCCACTCCCATGGATAATATTCAGAGGATATTGCTTTCCCTTCCTGATGCTGGTTATCTAAACCAACTGAATACCATCTCTAACTCTTTATCCAATGTTCTGTCATCTGTGCATGTACATAATTATGATGGTTGGTCTGTCTCCCTCCAGTTTTTATAAATAAAAATATATGGTGCAATTTGAGAGAGAACCGAAGTTGGAATGTGCAGGAACAGGATGCATGCTGTCCGTTCTGATCAGATGTTCCTGTGCAGCTGAAGGATGTGGCATGCAGATTCAGGGGAGCAAAGAACAGGAATTCTGGGTTGTGTTCTTTTTATGTTTTATTGGTGACTTCTCTAGTCTCCGGGAATTTCCAAGCTTCAAAATCTAGTAGAGACTCATGACCACAGAGTTATTTTGGAGATTTTGGACAAGGCTATGGAATATTGGAATGATAGTCAAATCTTTTGGGGACCACGTTTAGAATTATCAGACACGATATCTTTTCAATATATTGATAACCCCTTGAGATGACTTCGTCTTTGCTTCTGAAAGACCATCCTATTTGTGGCTGGTTTGTAATATTTTGTTTGATTGCCACTCGCTCAGAGACACGCAGAGTCCATTGATTTACTAAAATTTCAAGTATCAATATGCATACTAAACATTGTAAAATCTTCAATTCTGATGGCTCATAGAAGTTAGTTTGTTCGAATCTGAAAATCCTAAGTCCTGTTTACTTAAACTACAGTGTCAAATCATCCACCAACAAAGTAAGAGATGGCAAAAACCTGATATGGGCGATGACCGAAATTGTATTCGTAGACATCGTTTGCTTTGTCGTTTATGTCGAATGCTTCCACCATGATAGCTGAAACTCCAGCTTTCATGATCGAATATCTCTGTACAAAACAAAACGGAACAGTAAAAACCCTAAAGAGAGCGGTTTTTTAACGTTTGTTTTTCTGAAGGAGCTATAGTTTTGCATCGAACCATGCCTCCAATGCCACTGTAGAATTCAAGAACTCTGTACGGCCCATCTCTGGATTTGCAGAAGCTTTCTTCCATTGATTCAGATTTTAGACCCGAGAGAAGAAAGAGTCATCTTGATTTATTCGGGCTTAGAGCGGGAAGGTGGAGCGCAGTACGCACCTCAAGGTTACAGCGTTGGCAATACAGGCTTACGACATGGTCCCGATTGATCAAAACCAATATTCCGTTTATGAGATATCATGAGATTCCAATCTGACGGTTAAAAAAATTCCAATATAATTTCTGATTTATGTTTTATGATACACCCGCAGTACTTTACACTTTCCGGTAAACCTTAAACCCTGAAAAAAGGGGGGTTTAAGCGTTTGGGTTCTTCGAGAAGCAATGAGGCATCGCTTCTTCGCCCCCTTGCTGAAATCCTCTAACCGCTCAAGGTTTTCTGCTCAGCTCCGGCCAGGCTCCGCCAAAATCCAATTCTGACCGAGAGCACTTTCTTAGAAACAAAAGTTTCAGCGAAGACCTCTTCTGGTTCGGCGTCTGTAGAGAGKTCGGATTCAGAAATTGGCTTTTCGGGTGAACCCCATTCAAAAACTGGATTTTGGGGGGAACTCAATTGGAATTTTGGAGCAACCCATTTCAGGAATTTGGAGAAACCGAATTCAGAAGCTCGAAGATTCCACCACACGCTACATCTGGGCCAACATCCACAATCCTAGAACTTAAAAGGTTAACAACTAAGAGATTATCAGAAGAGACTAAAATTTTTTTAAGATGCCTGTCCAACGCAGAAGAAACAGCAGCCTCGATCGCACAAAGTTCCGTCTGCAGAACCGACCCAGCAACCTGAGCTTTCCTTCCTACTGTTGCCACAAAGGAACCAGAGATGGAAAGACACAAACGCATAAGCCCCTTGGCCATTCAGAAGAACACTTCCATCRTAAAAGAAAAAGAAATCTGCCCCCTGGGAAATGTGTCCTCACTGTTTGTCTCTGTTTGTTCATTCATCTGGCCATTCAAAGAACACATGTGTGTGTACACTAGGTCGGCCAACACTCTTCTTATAAAGTGCTCTCAGATCCGAATGGACACAAATGTGTCCTCACTGTTCTCAAGAGGCATAAGGAGGAAGAAGAGACAYGAAAAAAGAAAACAATTTATTTGAAAATTAAATTCGGATTTGAAGAGACATGTTTTAAAAATTGGAAAGGTGTAATTCGAATAAAACAAAATGATTCAGTGCATCACAAGTACAAGTACAAGTACACATACCCGCGCTCGCGCCCGGTTCAGCGCTCACGTGTGAAAAGCACCCCCAACCCCCCTCACATGCATGGAATATCTATAGTCCTCTCCTCCGACATAAGGAGGAAGAAGAGACACGAAAAAAGAAAACAATTTATTTGAAAATTAAATTCGAATTTGAAGAAACACATTTTAAAAATTGGAAAGGTGTAATTCAAATAAAACAAAATGATTCAGTGTCTTTTCCCTCTTTTCTATCCCGCGAGTTTTCGCCTTTTCTTTTCCCTCCTCTACTTCTGTGTCTTTTCCCTCCTCTGCTTGGTTTCTCTAAATTGACCGAGCGGTCTTTTATAGCTTTCTCCAATTTGGACATTGCATTTACGCCGTTGAATTAAGTAGCGATCCGTGTAGTTGAAGAGAGAGCTGTGGTCCGTCAGATCAGAAAGAGCGGGGATCGTGGCTTTGTTTTTTCTCCCGCTCTCTTTATGATTTTGCACTTTCGCCGAGTGGTAGCTCACGTGTGAAAAGCACCCCCAACMCCCCTCACATGCATGGAATATCTATAATCCTCTCCTCCTATTATAGCTTTCTCCAACTTGGACATCGCGTTTACGCCGTTGGATTAAGTAGTGATCCGTGTAATTGTTGAAGAGAGAGCTGTGGTCCATCAGATCAGAAAGAGCGGGGATCATGGCTTTGTTTTTTCTCCCGCTCTCTTTATGATTTCGCACTTTCGCCGAGTGGTAGCTCACGTGTGAAGCACCCCCAACCCCCCTCACATGCATGGAATATCTATAGTCATCTCCTCCTATTGGGTCCCTACCCATAAAGGGAGCAAAACTACAAATATACTCCACTCCCACTCCTTTCCCAAGCAATGTGGAACAATGAGTCATTCAATGGAGGAATGGGCAAAAAACAAGAGAGAGAGGAGAAAGATTCTTGTAAATTTGAATCTCCCTCCAACAATCCCCCACAAGATTCAAATTCAAGAAGATCGAACAATCTGAGCATTGTTGTAAGAAAAGTATTCATGGTGATGTCTTTTGGACTTCAATCAACACTTAGGTATGACAGGCTATGTTACAGAGTATGGGTGGAGTCAGACTCCTTCAATCTTTCCTCCTTATCGTAACTAGATAACCGGTTAACCAACTCAACTCACCAATTATTTAGTGGTTCTTTTGTTTTGGAACATTTCGACCTTGTTCCTTTATTACAATCATGAGTGTTTTCGAGAGTCAGCCCTAAATCTCTCTTAGAAGCRGTCACACTTCACACTCACTTAGGTCAGTTGTTAGTGTGCACTGCTCACACTATTTCTAACTGATTAAGAGCCACATGCTCAACCTCCTCAATCTACAGTGAGCACTATCTTATCTCGGCATCTGAAATGTGACACAAATGATAGTGCTTTACTAAGTCATCTAGCGACTCATTTTTACCCATTTAACCTAATTCCAAGGATCTCATTTTCACATAGGTTGGGTGCCCATCACTAATGACTTCACAATGGGCTTCAGCCCCATTCCTATCGATGCCTCATAAACCACCTTAGAAGTTTGTGGTTTGGTTAACCAATCTGCAAGGTTCTTTTCAAACCTTACAAAATCCGGAGCGATCGTACTTTCGCTGAGGTACTGTCTTACCAGGTTATGCTTTAAGCGGATGTGCCTTCTTTTACCATTGTACGTCTGGTTCTTGTCTCTGGCTATTGCTACTTGGCTATCACAATGGAGAGATATGGACGGAACCGGCTGCGACCAAAGTGGTATATCTACCAGCAAATTCCTTAGCCACTCTGCCTCGGACCCTGCCAACTCTACTGCAATGAACTCGACCTCCATTTATTGAACTTGTATTGCACGACTAATTTACTGATTTCCATGATATTGTCCCTCCACATAGAGTAAACACATATCCATTGGTGGAAGTACTATCATTTGAATCTGAAATCCAATTCGCATCAGTAAAGCCTTCTAAAATAAGAGGAAAACCTGAGTAATGTAAACCAAAGTTTATGGTTCCTTTTAAATATTTTAATAATCTTACTAAAGCTTCCCAATGTTCATTTCCGGGATTATGAGTATGTTGACTTAATTTTCCCACAACTATAGCTATGTCTGGTCTTGTACAATTCATTAAGTAGGATACAAACCCAATTATACTTGCATACTCCTTTTGTGAAACAGGTTCTCCTACATGTTTCTTTAAGTGAATACTACAATCAATAGGTGCTTTAACCAGTTTACAATTATAGTGTCCAAATTTCCTAAGAATACTCTCTACATAATGTGATTGGGAGAGAATAAAATTTCATTGTTCTTTATGGATTTTAATCCTCAATATTACATCAGCCTCACCCAAGTCCTTGGTATCAAATTTGGACATTATAAACTGTTTTGTTTCTTTTACTACCTCTAGACTAGTTCCCATTATTAACATATCATCAACATAGAGGTAGATCATGACTCCTGTATTATTTTCAAATTTGCTATAGACACGTCTATCATAATCATTTATGCTATATCCATTAGTTACTAACACATTATCAAATTTTCTATGCCATTGTTTGGGAGCTTGTTTTAACCCAYACAGAGACTTAATTAATTTAAATACTTTATTTTCTTGTACTGGCATTATAAAGCCTTCAGGTTGCTTAATGTAAATTTCTTCCTCTAATTCCCCATTTAAGAAAGTTGTTTTCACATCCATTTGGTGAACTACCAGTTTGTAAATGGATGCTATAGCAAACAAAACCCTAATTGTTGTTAATCTTGCAACCGGGGAGTAGGTGTCAAATAAGTCTACATCTTTCTTTTGTCTGAATCCCTTTGCAACTAACTTGGCCTTGAATTTATCTATTGTGCCATCTTGTTTTAGTTTTTTCTTAAAAATCCACTTACAATCTAGTGCCCTAGTTCTAGGTGGGAGATCTACAAGTTCCCAAGTGTGATTAGTGATTAAAGAGTCTATTTCACTTTTTATGCATTCTTTCCAAAATACTGAATCAAGTGAAGTTATAACTTCCTGATAGGTTATTGGGTCATTGTCTACCAGAAATGTGAACATTCCATCACCCAAGTTTGTTTCTCTTCTTTGTCTTTTACTTCTCCTTAAGTTTAGGTCTTGCTTAAGTGTACTAGTTTTTTGAGCATCCATTAGTTCTTGGTTTCTGACTTGGTTTTGGGAAGGTTCCCTATTTAATGTTTCTTTTCTCCAAGGGAAGATGTGCTCAAAGAACTCTACATCTCGGAATTATATTATTGTGTTATTTTCGACAACATTTTCAATTGTTTTAATTACAATGAACCGATAAGCCACACTATTTTGTGCATAGCCAATGAACACACAGCCACAGGTTTTCAGCCCTAATTTCTTTCTCTTAGGTTTAGGTATTCCAACATTTGCTAGGCAGCCCCAAACTTTTAGATAGTTCAAACTACGTTTTATGTTATGCCAAAGTTCAAAGGGAATCTGTTCTTTCTTCTTAGGTGGTATTCTATTATATAAGTGACAAGTCATTAGGATTGCTTCCCCCCACAAATTCAGAGGTGCACCTGAACTAATTAGCATTGCATTCATCATTTTTTTCAGTGTTATGTTAAGTCTTTCTCAACTCTATTAGATTCAGGTTGATAGGGAGCTGTGGTTTCATGTATGATTCTATTTTCTTCAAAGAATTTTCTAATGGTTTGTCCATCATACTGAGTTCCTCTATCTGTTCAAAGAATTTTCTAATCGTAGTGCTCCTTATTTTCTTTCCTAACTGATTTTCTACTTCAGTTTTGTAGTTTATGAAATCTTGATCAGCCTCATCTTTTGATCTAAGTAGAACTACTTTTGCATATCTAGAGAATTCATCTGTAAATGCTATATAGTATATTTTTCCTCGTCTAGCTTCATGACATTTAAGGTCTCCTAGATCACTGTGTATAAGTTGTAACAATTCAATTTCTCTTTGTACATTTTTATGAGGTTTCTTAGTAAATTTTGCTTCTACACATACTTGGCATTTTTCATTTGTAAAATTAATAGGAACATCCAAAACTCCTAATTTGCATAATCATTTTAAATAAGGAGCACTACGATGTCCTAGTCTAGTATGCCAAATATCAAAAGATTCAACAATATAAGCAGAAGAAGCAACAGTTTTATTCATAATAATATCAGAGATGTTCAGTACAAATAATCTACCAGCATTGTACCCTTTTCCAATAAATACATTTTTTTAGTCAACATGGCCTTGTCTACTTCAAATGTGAGTTTTAGTCTTACTTTGTTGAGGAGTGTTCCCGATACCAAGTTCCGTCGGATTTCCGACACATGCAGTACATCATTCAGCATTAGGATTTTTTCTGAAATCAGTTTCAGGAGCACATTTCCTTTGTCGATGACCTTCGAAGTTTGTGAGTTTCCCATGAAGACTTGCTCTCCTTCGGATAGAGTTGTATACTCATAGAAGGAATTGCGGTCCCCGCATATGTGTTTGGTAGCACTAGTGTCTAGTACCCACTCCTTCGGCTCATCAACTAAGTTTACCTCAGTTACCACTGCTGCGATAACATCCTCAGTCAAATTGACCTTTTGTTTCGCAAAGTCCTTCTTTCGGTACCGACAATCCTTCTTGTAATGTTCAGGTTTGCCACATATATAGCAGTTTCTTTTCTTTTGTTGTTTCTTGAATTTCTTGTCATTTTTCACATTCAAGTTCTTTTTGAATTTTGTAGTCTTTTTCTCGACCAGATTGGTTTTGAAAAACTGGTCCT